GAGAGAGAGAGAGAGAAAGAGAGAGAGAGAGAGAGAGAGAGAGAAATTATGTGTATAAAATTCCCGGCGAAGGTTGTATAAGATGTAGCTAATATTTTTGTAGCGGCTATGATAGATTATTAGTAAAAATAAACCTCGAAATAAGCCCTTGTATCGAAATAAACACGTTACACACGTTACCTACGTTATGTTAGTTTTTAAACAATGGACCTCGCCGCATTTTCAACGCATGTCGACACAAACGATTAAAATTGTTGAAATAACGATAGAAAAAATGGTCTCGATAGCGTTTGTATTTTTAATATCCTAATATTTGCTCTAGCATTTTTTAAATACTCTCTCCCGATATTCATGCGCATTTTGAAGCAAGCTCGCTCCCTCGTTCGCGATTGCGACGAGCAAAGTGAGAATTCTCGTTAACGAGCATTCTCGTCTTTTTGGCGTTAACGCCAAACCCGCGATCGTTCTCTTTAATCACTTAACTCTTAATTGATTATTAATTCCGACGCTTAACGAGAGGTTCGAGCTATTTATTGAAGCGTCTTCCCGCGCGATTCACTTATTCGGAGTAGAAATCGAAACGGCAAGAGACGCGAATTCCGAGGTTATATCTCACTGCGACACGCGGCACAACGATTCTCTTAAGATTCGGATATATCGTGCTTCGAAACATTTATTTAATTCTCGTGCACAATTCAGTCAGCGATCACGGCGTACTACACGGAGACCCGAGACCCGCCAAATCATAGCCGGGAGAGTGATACGTACGCCGCGGTGTCGTCGGTATCGAACACGGCATTCGACGTTCATTTCACCCAGCGACGGCATTTCCCACTCGTTGCACTCGACACGAGAAAGAGCGGAATATTCGACGTATGTTCAGCTTGTAACACACACGCTCCGTAACCGGATTTCTTTTCGTTCGCGAGAAAGAAATTACACGAGCGACTACGTCTCGCACCGTCACGGTCGTTCAACGCTCGAACGCGATTGGCTCGCGAGTCGAGCCCCCAGATCCGGCCAATCACGTTCCGCCACTCCGAGCCGGCGACTCGGCGGCGCGACGCAGCGGCATACCAGACGCCATACTAGGCGGGACCGTTGAACGTTGAAACAGCGTACCTTCGAAGTCAGCGTGCAATCGATCGTTCTTGTCGGTGAGCGGCCTTGTTTTCTTCGATGTTCGGAGTACCGTACCTGCGGGAATCATTCGGTCATTCTCCCGGTAAATTTCGAATTGTGATCGTGATTTGTAAGTGATTTGCACTTTGCAGTTTCGTTGTGCATTCGCGGGCGCGGGGCGATATCTATTTCGTATCTATTCGTTAGGTGTCGCGAGGGCGCAGCTTGCAGCCGGTCGGAGCGCGTATTGGAGCGTCGGCTCTGGATTTAACTTGTACGTCGAAGCCAGCAGCCAGTCGAAGCATCGTGATTTAAAGATGGCCGCCAGTTAGTTGACTAGTTGAGTGTTGAGTGTGAGTAGTGCGCAACTGGACTGAACTGGAAGGTGTGGATTTGGATATCGTTCGTCTCGTCTCTCGCAACGGTGAATTCGCGTCAACTCGGATCCAAGACGGTAGGGCCGGCTCTCGGCGAAAAATCCAGCGAGATCGCGGCTGCATCCGGTAGTGGAAAGACGGTCGGGCAGGTCGGGCTCGGGGAGATGGGCCGGTCGCGTTCCCGATCGAAATCGCCGAGCAGACGGCGTCACAAGAGCAAGCACTCGCGCAAGCGGTCCAAGTCGCGCGAGAAGCACTCCAACAACAAATACTCGGAGAAGCCGAAGGAGCGTAGCTCCAAGTCCAGGTGCGTGTCTTTTTCGAGAGGCGAGTTCCACGCGCCGCTCCGCAGTTCGCACGTCCAAAGATCTCGATCTTGCTGCACGTGCGGCCATCTTGTCGCACGTCGCACGTCGCACCCCGTGTTCGTGACGATGGAAAAATAAATAAGAACATTGCAGATCCGCGAACTGTCGCGTATCTTTCTATGTCGTGCCGTAAACTTTCGGACGTTCAATTTAACGAACGATTAATCCAGGTTTTAGATACTAACGCTGCTCGTTTGGCCATTTGTTTAGAAAACGATCCCACTCTGCGTCGTCCAGCACTGGCTCGGATGTATCGGACGACGTGCATATCGTCAGTCACAAGAAACGCTCGTACAGGGACAGGGATCGAAAGATGGACGAGGTGGAAAGGCTAGCGGAAATGGAGCGACAAAGGTATGCTCGTTAAACGATAATGTTGACGATGTTCCCCTTGATAACCGGCATTAGGATTGGAAAAGAACAAGATTTTATTGATGTATCAATACGTTTCCCAAGCTTTTTTCTCCTCTCTTATGTTGCTTTTCCTCTCTCCTGCGTATCAAGTGGAACATGTGTATTTATTTTGCATAATCCAAATTTTTGTTATACGCTGTTTTTTTTATAATTATGTTGTCAGGAAAAAGAAAGAATTAATGAACAAAATCTTCACCACGAGCACGGTCGGGTAAGAATGTGTAATTATTTCATGGTGGTGGTTTATCTATTCAAAGCTCATCAGAGTTTACTGTAATACGTTTTTGCAAAAAGAAACATGCTTGATTTACGCAAGTATTAAATCTTTCGATAACATCTTTCTTTATCTCTATCACATTCTGTAAATTTCAATCGTTAATTCAAATAATTTATAGATTTTGAGAGAATTACAACTTTTAAAGTCTAATTAAGATTTGGCATGCTATTAAATTCACTTTTGTACAAGAAAATGATTCTGAAACAGAGCTCTGGAAGAAGATCGCTGCTTATCTGTCTGCAGACGTCAACGCGAGGTGGAACAAAAGATGGTGGAGGAAGAAGCCGCCAAACGTATAGAAGAACTTGTACAGAAGAGGGTAGAAGAGGAACTTGAGAAACGTAAAGAGGAAATTGATGCGGAGGTGCAAAGGCGGGTGGAAGAAGCCAAGAGGGCTATGGAGCGTCAAATGATGGAGGAGATGGAATGGAGACAAGCGAAACTACGTGAGGAGGAGAAACGAAGAGAGGTAAGATCTATCCATAGAAATATTGGTCAGTGATAGCCCAAGCGCTGTTGTGATCAGCAGAAAATAAATCTAGTATTCTTTTAGTGACTGTTTCAAAATCGAACCATACCTAGAAATGTATTTCCCCAAAGAATAACCGTAGTTGATATTATTTATATTATCGCGTAGAAATTTCAAAGGTACTATTATGTCACAGATTTGTAGAATATCAACTCTACTAGTAATTGATGAAGACATTCAGAAAATATATTGAAGCGTTATTGTAATGGTTAGGCCGGACCAAGTGCAATTTGTGGATCTTCTTGAATTTTTTAATATTTTGATGTCTTAAAACTACAGGATTTGCAAATTGTACTGTCCCTAGGAAAATATGCGAGATTGAGCTTGTAAAATCAATTCTGTTAGTTCTAATTTATGATCACAGCGTTTGGGCTAGAAGCATTGTGGTTCGCGATTGTATCATAAGAGATTAAGCGAAGAAACCACACTGCTTTGACTTCTCAACATCCACTGAGGTCGCGTTGTTGAGAAGCTGTACTTTATATTATTATGAAAGAAATGCTGCTACATAGGCGCATGTATCGGTTATTTATGATCAAATTGTTTGTACCATGTATATATATTTATATATCTCTGTACAACATTATAACCTTTTTCATCACACGATATCTGAGTTGACATTCGTGTCAACAATTCTAGAAATTGTGCTTAAACTGCTCTGATTTGTCTGGATCAGCAGTCTTCACTCGCAGTTTCTAAAATTGTTGTGTATGTTGGCGAGTCTACCTGTATCAGGCTTCTTATAAACTTACTCGAGCTAGTTAAAAAAAAGAAAATGTTCGCGTGTGTGACTGTCCACGTTATCACATCATACAGTCTTTAAGAGAGCAGAAAAGAGAAGATATTATTGAAAAAGTAACAATCCCAAACTTTGTAATTTATTGAACAAGAGAAGCTTTCCTTGAGTCTGAAATAAAGTTATTTTTATATGAAACCATAGGAAAGTAATATTCTTCCCTGAGAGCAGTTGTTACTGTCAGTTGAATCACTAGTAGTGATATATGATACGTTACTGATGCTGCATAAAACATCTATGTCGAGTACCATAAATAAGAAGAAATAAGTTTACGATTTACTGTTAATTTAGACTTTTTTTATTTAATTATGTTCATATAATTAGAGTTACGACGTGTTCGCAGATATACAGAAATGTATGAAAAAGTATCATTTTTCAATATGACTTAATCTTACATCATTATATCTTGCTTACAAAAAAAATATTTTAATTATATTTCTATCGAATATAAGTATACTATCTTTTGAATTCAAGAGAATTGATGCAATAATGCCCAATTAATTTCTGCGATATCATTAGATTCTTCAATTTTAATTTTTAATTTTGTCTAATAGTTATTACTTCGAAATACTGAATTATAGTAAAGCATCTTATTACTTAATTTGCGTATTAGGAAAATCTAATAGATTTGTCACAAACTTTCTTTTTATTTTATTTTGTTGACTAGGACTTTATTTGCTACTACATTTTTATGTCCCATGCACAATTATTTACTTTCACCTTTGAAAAGTCAAAACTCACTCGTCGACTGGACAACAATCCTGATTACAAATTTATTAGAGATTATACTCTCATTGCTTTGCACATTGGGTTTGCACCAAATATGTTATATCTCTACAAGTTTGGGAAAAAGTTTATTCGAAAGGGAGAAGTAGAGACTTTAAGGGGACAGAATTAGAATCCCATAGCGACAAAGCACGACCTAGCGATATATAGGTCACCTTCCTTACTGACTACCAACAGAAGATGCCGGTTTTTTACTCACTGCTGAATGATTCTCGATGAAGAAGGCATCCCCTACGCTTGGTGGCGTGAGCTTCATTCAGGTATTATCCAATTTATATATTCATAATTCATTTTATACCGATATTTTTATCATCGTTCTTTATTTCAACACTTTGTACCAGAGAGACCATATGCTAGGGTTCATTTTATAGATTCGCTAAACATTATTACCATAGGACACAACGAATTTCCATCGACAGGTCGGGCGGATGGCAACAACCATTCACATATGAATGTACCGTAGGGTATTAGTTTCTGAATTATTATATATACAGACCTCATTTAGAATTCTCGTCTACTTATAGATATGATGTTACAAATAACATTACACACACACACATACACACACACACTTATCACATTGAGTTTTTATTATGCACTTATCAGAACGTTGCAGTATCGCGTTTATGAAAGGGAAAATTGCAATTTCATGTACGTTCTTGCATGCACACTAATTTGTATAAAGTTGTAAGAAATTAATTTTTTCTCGTGTTAAGTAACATCCTAAATCATTGTATTTTCCTTTGGACAGTCTGAAAACAGAGAAACAGCGTTCGCTGGGATCTGAAAGGAATACATTTGACACAAAAAGAAGGAACTATGTTTAGACAAAACAAAACACACGTCTTCTGTCACTCTTTGTGATTATCTCTCTTGATAAGCCATCCTTTTTTCGAAATCCGATCTTAAAATTTCATACGTCCCAAACTTTCCTGCATAAAGGTTCTTAGGATGTGTAACACTAGGCTGTTGACATAGCAGCACTATGATTTCGAACGATGTAACAACAGATGGTGATCAACAACATCATTGCTTTGTGTAAACCTATTTTATTGTCATTGTAGGAGGAAGAGCGGAAGAAGCGTGAGGAACTAGAGAGGATTATGGAGGAGAACAACAGAAAGATAGAGGAGGCTCAGAAGAAATTGGTAGGTTGTCAATATTAATATAATTTACGAAATTTGCGTTCGAGATAATATGCGATTAATGCATGTTTAACCTCAGGCTGAGGAAAGATTGGCTATGGTTGAAGAACAACGGTTAATGGAAGAAGAAAGGCAAAAGATGAGGAAGGAACATGAAAAACGTGTTAAGGAGGAGCAAAAGAGGATCTTAGGCAAGAATAATTCAAGGCCTAAGTTATCCTTTACGCTAAAATCGGTTACGTAAGTTTAGTATTTGTATTGTTTCATGCAGTTTACATGTGATATGTACACGAAATCTTGTCAGTTTTCGTACTTGATTCGCGAGAACAGTTATTACAGACTGTATCTGTGTAGGTATATGGTATACCTATATAGGTACATAGATAAGTGCAGTAACATAAGATACAAAGCTCACCCTAATGTATTCAAAGCGATTGTTGAAATCAACAAGATCGAATTTTATTTAATTGTGATGACGATGGACTGCATCAAAATTAAATAATCAGTTCTTATCTTGTAAGATTTTAACACAGATACAGATGGGATTTCATGTTACGTGAGATTATGCTATCATCAATATGAGCGAATATAAATTTTTAATATACAAAATTATTGTAACGGTCATTAATGCTTTTAACTTATCAAACAACTTCGATTTTATACATCATACTTTTTCGTGTATTTGATTCGTTCTATCTGACGTAAGCATATTCTGACACATTTAGATGTGTTCCATGATTTATATATATGCGATTTGTACGTCGTAGGTATTACCCTCGCGATATAAAAATCGACTTTATTTCAATGAGATAAATCACATATATCACGTCAGATCATGTTGCAATAATAACAAATTGTTTATACTGTTAAATTGGCCGAATGACATTTATTATGGGAAATATGATTCCTCTTTTTCTAACAGTTGTTTTTTTTATGAACAACTTTAGAATATGTTAACGTATGTTAACAATGATTTTTTTGAAAGTACTGTAAAAACCGGATAGCTATTTTACAATTATATTATAACACTTTACACTATTTAAATAATCTACCATTATTTCGATCTGATACGGAATATGTTTATTCTACAAAACGATAAAATGGAACGATATGTTTTACGATTAAAAATCAAATTAAATAACATAATAATCTTGAAAATTACAAAACTGAGTGATTTTGTACGTGAATAATGGATCCACATCCATTGGAGCCATGGAGCGTGACATAATCCTATCTACGTTAACCGTGTAATGATGTGTACGCATTGTTCCGTAAAAAGAAAAACATTTTGTCTATATAGGATTGTATACCTACAACATTGTTACTTGTATCATAAACACGTTTTTAATAAATTACTGCTTTACGATTATTTTCCCACTTCATCGCGCGCTATGCAGGATCTAGTATTGAGAAAGGAGAACACAAATGTGCTTTTTTATACACGTACATGGCGATTTGCAACTTTGTTTATATGCTAATACGAAATTGCTTGCGTTACCGAGCAGATTATGATCGAGATTGAAACAGTTCTTTGCAAAATAGACTTTCTGACAGATGAATTTCGGCGATGTCACTTTAGATAGTCGTGTTACGTCAGAAATGTCACGATGATTTCGTAACGAATAAACCCTTGCCACGAATACCGAGACTCGTGCCTTGTCCCAAAATATTGATGCCGCAAAATGGATTGCGTTGCTTGTAAATACATTCGAATCTTCCGTAGGATGCTTTTTTATTTTTACGCCGATCTAATACCACTAAAGATTATAACGTATATAATATGATTTTTTTATATAATATATATTTTTATTTCTTTAATCAGCATACCTTTCATTGCATCTTCGATTACTTCCGGATAGAGCTTCGCGGTGACTTTGCTGCTTGGTGGATGTAATCGTGGATTGGTATTTATTTCCAACAGCCATACCGAAAAATCATCGGCCACTACGAAATCAGCACCGTACAATTGAAAGCTGTTCTTACGATTTACCATGTTATCCTGCGACGCCAGAAGTGCTCCTATTAGGTTTTGCTTTATTCCCGGTCTGATTGTCGTTTCCCAAGCCAACTCTTGACCGCGCGATCTAAATCAGTAATTAATTGATTAAGTAGTTTTTAAGTTCTAAGTAAGAGAAAGTATGACAAGTACTGAAGATAATCCCTGAAGTCTTGAAGATTCCAATGACGTTGCTCAGGTAAGTCGGAATTACATGTTGGTAATTTTCGGTACTTGAGCTGTACCGTCGTGTTGCACAAGTGAATGGACTCGTGAAAATTACCGAGGGTGAAATCTTTCGAAGCAAATCGTATTAAAATATCCCTAGTCAAGGTAACTTAAGTTATTAAAAGTTATTAAGTTATTAAATTTGTAGCATAAATTAATAAGATCAAGAAAAATGATAAATATACTTGTACATCCACACGACGAGAGGTTGTGTACTAGTTATCAGAAACCATTGCCTGATATCTATTTTTGTCTTATGAACAAGCAGTGGTCGTTCTGTAAATTATAATTGCAAATGTGACTAATAATGAATAATACCGCTTAAAACATCTTATTCTATATCCTACATCGCGTTAAATGCAAATGATACCTATGTATTTCTGCACGACATACGCGACACTTTCTTTCGCTGCTTGATTCACCTTGGCGAGAATATCAACCAAAGAACTCTGTAGAACAATTCCGCGTCCTGAACTATCGTCGCCTGGCTTTAAAATCCATATATTTCTTATACCATCGATCTTATTTTGTGGTCGGTACTTAATCATTGTTCTTACTATATCGCGCACAGATACTACAAGCTCCTACAAAATTCTTTAATTACAGTGTCCTTTTTCTTCAAATTTTTGTATATCAGAATATACTATTAGAAGAAGGAAACTACAATGTTTATACGTACATCTATGTCAACTTTATCGGTTTCTTTCAATAAAACACGCTTGTATATTATATCGTGATACCAATCTAAAAATTGGTGCCAAGCAGGAAGAGGTGTATCCTCATAATCTGTACGGTCTATGTCCTCATGTATTTGAATACTAAAAACATTTCGTATCAGTATTTATATAATGCACTGTTTTACAATGCGAATAATATTGTTTACAACCTTATATATTCTATACAGCGTTCCAAAGCGAAGGAAATTGCATTTACGGGGATTGTTCCATTTGGGGACCAGGTATTCTTCGGTCCTACCAAATTGGCGAGCAACGAGAACCATTTTAAAGTTCCGAAACACGCAGTGATGTAATAATCCTGTATGAACTCTTCCATTTGTGCTGACTATTCAAATTAATGTAAGGTATATATTAATATTTTAATATTATAATTCACACATATATGCACACACACACACATAATATATACGTACTTGATTGAAATTGTAGCATCGAGGAAACTGTATGTTTGATACACCGGCTTCGTAAAACCAATAGGCTTTTTCCAAATTGTTACACATGTCAACCTAAATATTTCGCTAACTTAAAATTAAAATATATTTTGCAATGCACACATTTAAGAATAAAATTACCTTGGACGTAAAATAGCTACCAGCGAATTTGTTCACTGTAGTCTTGTCGTCCGTTCTTATAATAGGTCTCTTGTTCGTATACCATATAAAATCCGCTGGAATCCGGAGCAATTTTTCTATTTGCTGTAAACCATCTAAAAAAAAAGACATTGACTTTCGAATTGATTTAATAACGATCATAAATAGAAATAAAAAAATACGCGGACCTTCGTACGCATTAGGAGCGATTGATATCATTTTCCTAATAGCTCTTTTCTCGATCCAACCTCTATCCGTCAACGGTTTCCTCAGAGCCGGAAACGTACCGCAAATCACGTAACATTTGTGCTCGTTTACGGCTTTCGTTAAAATTTTTAGTAGGAGATTTATTCTGGCTTCGTCATTTGTTACCAATTTTAAATAATCCGTCAATATTATGTTTCCGTCTTCTCGATTGCTCTCTTTGTCCTCTGCTCCTAACAATTCTTCGAGATCCTCGCGATTGCAACAGATCTCGGCATCCGCGGTTTTAATTGTCTCGGCCGCGCATTGCGAATTAATTTCCAACTTTGGAACCGTTAAAATCAATCGCACATCTTTTTCTCCGTTGCTTGCATTTTTTGGGCAAATCTACGAGTTTATGAAGCGACGATGCTAACAGTAAAGTAGATAAATCACGAAAATATGTAATAGATACATCTGTAATGAATTCTTTCGATGCCTGCCTATACCTGCCAACTTTCGAAATGTTTCTTGACCGTGCAATTTTTCGAGGATAAAGTTATCTGCCATTTAGATCGACTGTCTGCGCAAACTACCGAATTGTCACTGTCGCAATGCATTTTTTATGTTTAAAAATTCTGAAGTTGTAAAAATTACGCTTTTAGATTTTTAGTTTTTATTCAAATGTTCTTTTACATGCACGCGAAATTTAGTTTTCGGACTTGACAATTTACTGCTTCCGTTTTGCTCTTATCGATTATGTGTGACTCGATGACCTACATTCATATTACGCGAATCCTTTCTCACGACCAACAAGCGTCATCGCGATCGAAGATATATTGTGGCTGTGTTCCTTTATTCACTGCCAGTACTGAAAATCTATAGTTAGGTGACGCAAACTATATATTTTCAGCACTGCCAGTAAAAAAGGAACACGGGGTGTGTATTCGCAAATTTGTACAAGCTTTCTTAAAGAGATTCGTGTTTCATTCGATTAAAATTTTCCATTTGTCCTTGCGATACCTATATATCTGTTCAATGTCTTCTTTATTGACTCAGCTAAATATTTTTATATCGCAGGATTTTTTCTTTACTACGTGCATTTATGTCTTATAACGTGTTTCTTTCTTCTTGTATTATCTTCCAAAATCGAATGCATTAACATTGACAAAAGCTTTACTTGTTCATGGGAATATCTCATGATTCTCAGACTGGAAATTTTGCGAGTAATATAAATTTAAATTTAAATTGTTGGAATCGGAATTGCGTAGTGAAGTTATCTTGATAGTTTAAAAAATTGTTTTTTGTATTGATGGAAGTAAAACGATTTTCAGCTTCAGATTTATAATTGTAACATTTATTAGTTGTATACATATATCACTTGTAGATAGAATTGAAGAATTAATCAACAGTAAAGAGAAAAGTGACGAGCAACGAGTGACTGACAGGCTTTTTGATTATTTGGTCAGGCTCAAACCGACAGCATACATATCGGAGATGTCTGTTAGAATTTTATTTTTTTTATGCGTTTGTTTTTTCGGGAAGCTGCGGCTCTTGCTCTTCGTTGTCGACACGGGAGTGACTTTCGGTGTTGACGTAAGTAGGGATGGCAGTGGCGGTACTTCCGGCCGGATAGTCACGTTTCTTTTGTACTTTTTTACGGCATCTCGCATCGCAGATTTGATGATCTGTTAAAGAAACAGGGGAAAAAGGATTTTTTGCTAAGGATTTAGTGACAAAGAATTTGTATGAATATTAACCTTATCTTCATTTTTTCTCGACGATTTCTCAGATTTAGTCGCCATATTCGTCGATTGTTCCTGAAGAGCCATAATCTTTGAGATCAACGTTTGTCTCGGAGATGTATCCAGTTTGCTGCCCGCAGTGACCGTGCGTAACTTTCGTGCCGGTTTATGCGAAGATTTTTTCTCGTTATTCGAAGATTTAGTGTGATTCTACATAATAGAATATACATTAATAGCAAACTGAATAATCATCGATTTTCGAGATGGCAGCGTTTCTTCTAAATTATAATTACCTGGACGTTAGTTTTAGATGGAGTTGGTGACTTTGTCTTGATAATAGATGTTGTACATGCTGAAGTACTCTTTGTCACGGTTTCCGCTTTCTCATCGGAAATGGATGCCTTCGAAGGCTTTGCCGGTGCAGTCGCCGGAAGTGCTGGTCTCGACTTGGGCGAATCTGTATTATAATAAGAGTACAATTCTTGATCGAGCTGGATCTCCAGTTCCTCGATGAGATCGACGATTACTGGCCCGATGTTACTATGTACCATCGACTTCTTTTTCGTCTGACGATAGATAAATAAAATATTATTGATAATCGATCCAACTGGCACGTTAGATTATTTCTTATCTTTGCCTAACTCACCATTGGAGACCTTGCGACTAGGCTGGATTTGGAATCCTGATACAGACTTGATTTCTTCTCACAGGTGGTGATACGAGTACCCTGAAGCGAAAGAGCTGCGCCTAAATACGGCTGGCAGCTCGGCATTCTCTGCTTATATGCTAACTCAAAATCTCCAGTATTTGCATTTTTATCTTCTCGAAAGTCTACCACGACTGTACCAGCGAAAATACAATTTCTGCCATAATTGTGTAATAATATGGAAGATAGTAATGATAGATTGTTAATTACCTTTAATGGTATCTTCCATCACTTGTCGACACAATCGCGTAGTAACACTAGTGGAGTAGCTCATGTCTGGATGACTGTTGATCTCGATCAGCCATACGGAAAAATCTTCCATGACCATAAAGTCGGCGCCGTACAGTTCGAAACTATTCTTTCGTCGGTCCATGGCCTCTTGACTGGCCAATAACGAGCCCACAAGGCCTTGTTTCATTCCCGGGTATATCAGATCGTCCCATGCATCACTGTGACCCTGAGATCTGAAGAATTTTTATGAGAATTATTTTTCTTGCACATTGCTTTATTAGAAACAAAACATGCATAAATAGTATTTATAATTACATAAGTATTTATAATTACATAGAAATTTTAAAGAAATACACGAGTGATTCTTTATATATGATGTGACGTAAATCATACTTGAGGAATTCCTTGAATGTCGTGGCGTCCCACATATTGTCCGCGGGTAGAGCAGAGTCCCTGTCGCCACAGTTATTGTATTTGCATTGAATCGCGTTATTGCACAGGTGAATCGACTCATGGAAGTCATCCAGACTGAACTTTTGCGAGCAAAAACGAAGGTAGCTTTCTCTGTAAACAAGTAATAAGCTCGAAGTCTCTCTACCTTGACTGTTATTTTATTAGCGATAATTAAATGCAGATAGCACTGTGTTGTGTGTGTACTGTCTGGATATTTATATCAGCAAGTTTGTGATTGCTAGGGAACAGGATCGCGCGTTTTGATGTCAGCGAGGCATAAATTGATTATTCTACTTTTGAAACTATTATTATTTCTTAGCCGAGTCTTGGCTTAATTGTTCTGGCGTGAGCGATGTTATGAAATGTCGTGACTTAAAACAAAACATTCTTGATATATTTGCATACTTATACATCCAGAGAGTTAAAGGTTGAGCGCACGTCACGATGAACCATTGACGTATGTCGAATTTTGTATTGTGAATCAGTAATGGCCGTTCTAGGAGATATAATCAGATTATTTTTAACCAAATCGAAACAAAAACAAACACCTGTGTTAATCAGCTAGCGTTTTCCGTTAATTATTAATCTGAAAGTTTACCGATATATTTCTGCACGACATATCGCGTGTCCGGTTTGCCTGTTGGGTTTACTTTCGCTACTACGTCCTCCAGCTTGTTCATCAGAACAATACCGCGTCCCCGGCTCTTGTTCCCAGGTTTCAAGATCCACATGTTCAATATGCCGTCCATATCTATCTGTGGCCAATACTTCCTCATCTTCTTTAATATATGCTTCGAAGCTAGGACATATTTCTGTTGACAAGCACGACATATTTTCAAGTGGTAAAAAATACGCTTATAAGTGAAGAAGAAAAGATTGTGCTTGTAGATATCTCACGTTGAAGGGCACGTTGGTGCGGACAAAGAGAGCTTGACCGCGAACAATCTGGTAGTACCAGGTGATAAATTGGTCCCACTGGTGAGACCAAACCTTCTCAGCCTCCTGATCAATGTCCTCGTGCGATTGGGCGCTAATATAGTCGCTACATCTCTTAATTGCGAAGTCGAGAGCCTTGAGAGGCACTGTGCCGGTTGGTGAACGCACGGCGTCTTCGTCCTCGGCGTTGACCTTGTCCACCAACCATTTCAAGAGACTCAGACAGCCTGTGAGTCTAATGAAACATCTCTTTTATTATCAGCAATTATATTAAGTATATTAAACGTTCCTGAGATCGGCCATGTAATGTACAATTAATACAATTTCCTTTTTTTTTTAAGGCAACTCAAAGGCTCTCACCGAAAGTCCTCGACGAAGGCGTGCATCTGATCGCCCTGGCATATGTTGTAGCAACGCGGAAACAAAGTGTTAGCCACTCCAGCTTCATAATACCAGTGCATTTGCCTGACGCTTGAACACAAGCCCACCTGAATAATTGATTTTCGAAGAAGTACATGCAGCTTTACTCCTAACGATTCGTCGTCACGCTCGTGAAAAGCGTGCACTCTAGTCAATCTCGCTACATCTTATCTAAACATCTTTATGCTTTACAAAAGCAATTTTATAAAAGTCAGGCTCGCCAAATTAAAAAAAAATTATTCACAATTAGTTTCTTGCGACGAAATAATTGTTCCGCATTATGCCGGAACTGAAAATTTATATTTATGAGAGTTACAGGTATTTGATGCACCGACGATACCTTGGATGTAAAGCCAGCTCGACAATATCGATTGAACACAGTAGTTTTGTTATCTTGGGCAGGCCATCCGGGCCAGTCAGACCCAGTGTTCCACAGAAAGTCGACGGTGTGATTGGTGAGCATCTTTGATATCAATAGACGTTCGCTTTGCTGATCCTTCAGATCGCCGATACCAGCCAGTAGATATACCGGGCTGGAATCGACGCCGACATGCTGATCGCCTGAAATCATTGTTATCTTCGAAAACGTAAAGTACAAATTGCAACGTAGAAGAATGTTACATTTTATTGTATATATAAAAAAAAGCAGAGTGATACATTGGAGTAATTATGAAGTTGGTACGCGTGATTTATTACCGCCACTGTTTCTGCGATAAAATTTCTCACACCATCCTCGTTTCAACATGCAATCGCGAATGACCCGTGACTTGCCGTAAATCATAAAAGTATGATGGGCAGCTATAGCGTCCTTCACGGTTTGCTTGATACGCAAAAATCGTTCGTGAAGGGTCGGTTCTAAAGGCAGTTCTAAAGACGGTTCGGTTTTATTTTCCGGGCAGTTTGGTTTCTCTTTAAAGAAAATTACGAGCGACATACGATTATAATATATACAAGTTATATATGCACACTTAAGTAATTACGAATATTTCAAACCTTCGAGAGATTTGGTATCACAATTTGTCGCATCCGTCTTTGTCACCACTTCCTCTCCGGGATTTTCATCTTCGTTCTCGATATTTTCTTTTTTGTCCTTCTTATCCTCGCTTGAACTTTCCAGATTTGAAGAGGATGATTCATCCTTGGCATTCATGTAGCGGGTCTAAGAACCGCAAAGCTTTTCCGCGCAAATGCGTTTCGTTAATTTTCATATGTTCTTCATCGCTCCGATAGATTTCAGCAAGAAGGAAGCGTGCTCGAAGGAAACGCCGTTATTTTAATCTGAAACTATTTTCGCGAATATGCTTTAATTAAATCGGATCTGAAGATTACTGCTATAAGATACATATTATTACTAAAAATTATCTTAATATTTAATGCAGATGCAGAACATAATTCCTGGAAACAGAACTTGAGGCGAACGACGCGAGAGTGAAGAACGTGTTTTCGATAAAACTTGGTTGCATATGACGAAATTCAATGCGCCACTTCTGATACCTGTTGAATCTTCGATGCTCTCCAGATGATGAATACATCCTTCGCAGATACCAAAGAGTAAATGTATTCGCGCAAAACCGATTAACAACCGTGGCTTCGGAGGATCAAGTGGAGAACCAACGCGACGGACTATTCGGACGAAGATGAAAAACATGCCCGGATGGAAGTGGAGGCAAGACTGAACGACGAGGACGTAGACAAACGCGAGTCAGGTGGTAGAATCTGATATTTCGCAGGCGCGCGCCCCAGGGGTGTTTTAAGGCGCCCCTTATAGAAGCAATAAGATTGCGCTGATGATTCTGATACCCCGCCGCGTTATCGACGAAATCGTTTAATGGAACCTCTCTTGTTCTTCCCTCGAGTCATTAAAAAGGAGCCAATCAGCCCAGACTAATCTGGGAAAAGTTCGATTCATAAGAAACTTTTCTATATCTTCGTTGCGCTATCTTATATTGCGGTAAACAAAATCTTTATAAAATTGCTTCATCCATTCTTTTTTTTTGTAAAATAATGGTTCTAATGTACCAAAGATTAATTGTTATTTAAGGGCAGTTTCGACGAAAGTGAAAGACAGTTCCCGAAGATGGTTTTCGATAAGACATGCTCTCGAGTATCTTATCTTCTAATTGTTACGTTGAGGATGCACACGATGAACAAGTATCAGGTAAAACGCTCGCGTTAACCTGGGCAATGAGGGAAAACGAAACGTTCCTGGACACGTGAGGCGCGCGGGTGGTGGTTGAGCGCAACGAAGAGCGTACCAGGCACTTCCGCATACCCCCGCTGCACGACCCCTGCACGACGTTCGTTGGAATATAGGCGAGAGAGGAAGTCAAAGCAATCACGTGGTTAATGAGACCACACTCTATTCCTCGACTTTGCATGTACTCTGACCCACTTACACGGCTGCATCCTCATGGTCGCGTGGAGAAGTCGCGGCAGGTGGTAGCCTGATGAATCGTTCGCTCGGCCTGGTATTGCTAATTACGGAGAGGGTCGAGGGGGGGGGATAAGCTTTCGATCTCTCTTTGATAACCAGTCTATTTTCGGCAACGGCCGAATTCCGTCTCTGATGCCAAATTCGGCGTTGATCGCGTGCGAGATAAGGGGACGCGCGCGCGCGGCGTTGAGCTTTAATGATACTCCGAGATTTTGGGGGATTTGTCTAACGAAATATTAATAGAATGGAGAAACGCGATTGACCCGCGTGACTGACATGTCTCTGTCGCTGACAGACGGAGAACAGCGAAAGATGAAGTTGGCGATTCCGAGAAGCGCGATGATAATCGAGAATGAATATGTATGTTTATACACATACTTACGAATAAATTTTTATCAAATAATTCCCGTAAAATGATGTTATATATACGCGAAAGAAAGAGAGAATAAGTCAGAAGTTACTGCAAATTTGAAAGTTTTATGTATGTCGTATCGTTATACGAAGATCTTTATTACCTAAACTTTTTTTCTATAATTTCTTTCAAATTTTACGACCTTATGCCACCGAGATACTATCTGTCTGTTTCTTATTTAACTTGCAAGTATTATTTGTACCGAGCGAATGTCAAGGTTGCGCGACCTTTAGCGATCGGTAAGTGTCCTTTAATTCTCGCCGTGCATTCTTCGTGCTTGTTTTTTTATATTTATAATTTCAGCCTTGTTCTTCAAAGTTAACTCCTACGAATACAATTAAAGGAATTAAATTAACGGCAATTAAGCAATCGGATAACTCTATTGGACATTCTCGATTTCATATATATAGATATGGAACTCGCATACGGAGCTTATAGTTTTTTCTTTCTATTTAAAATGCAAGGCGTCTTTGCGTCGTCATTACTGACAATAATATCTAATATTCTTGTCAGTTCAATGTATATTAGTTTAATATTTGTGAATTGTAATTTTATTTTTGATCGCGATTTTTAATAATGTTCCAGCGACGGCTCCGCCGGCATCTCTCACATTACCATCCGTAGGGCCGTTCAAAGTTTGTACCAAATAGTTGCTGAACGCCGCTACTGCGTCGCGAAGGACGCGAAGGCTAACCTGGCCAACGTGAGTTGGCACGCGTTTGTAATTGTAAGGAGGTTTTTGCCGTTATCGCCGGTTATTTAACGATTACGGAAAACAGGTCTCGGCTCGTGAGTCGTCTGTGAGCCTTCCGTTACATTCCATGTGCATTTACACCGTGAGATAGTACGGTCGATGAATACGGAGCAAGTCCTGGCAATATGGAGCAATATATCAGAAAAGCGGCGTTATTTGTGTTTACTCGGGAGTGCATAAAGGAGTACTTCGACAAATTTAATTTTTTTCACGGTACGTTCGCCTCGATAACATTACAACTTTATCATGAGCTTTTAACTCCACACGTGACATTTTGTTCCCAACATGAGAGGAGGAATGTGCCCGGCATTTAAAATTAAAAAAAATATATATATAAATAATACTTGGGTTTGCGTATTTGACTAATTAATCGTGTTATTATTAAAAGTCGAACCGTCTGTGTTGTATATGTAGCCTTAGGATTTGTTGCATAATGTTCTATTATTTTTTTATACTTGACAAGCTTAATATTTGTCGGTAACTTGTCAGGAAATTATTGAGATTAAAAATGAATTTTTTAATAAGCTAGCGTATACAATCAATGCTGGTAAAACATGATTGTCTTGAAAATGTTTCAGTGGGATGCTTCAAGGCGACGTTGAGCAAAGTTTTAGGATTGGGCATCATCGGAGGTTCTTTGCTGGGTTAGTAGATTATTTCTAGGACAAAGATATCCACTTAATTGCATCGTGAGAATATATAAAGCATTTTACTTGAAAACTGTAATCTTATGTAATTATCATAGTAAATTGTATTGCAGCCTTATATTAATGCAAGTGCGATTCAGTAGCTACTTTGAATAGTAAACATAGTGTCTTATCTAAATAATATTCTTATCTCATACATGAATTATCTAAATATACTCTTATTTTCTTTTTAGTGAAGATACCTCAAATTGTGAAAATCCTACAAAATAAAAGTGGCGAGGGAATCAATATTTTCAGCGTATTGTTGGATTTATTCGCTATCACCGCGATGTCTTCCTACAGTTTCAGCAGTAGATTTCCATTTAGGTAAATAAATAATTCATTGAACACAAAGCGTGTCACCGTACAAAAGTCTGTTGTTATACAAATTTATTTATTGTTGGTATTAATTTCAGTGCCTGGGGAGATGGAGTATTTTTAGGAGTTCAGACTTTGATCATCGCGGTTCTAGTAATGCACTATAATGGAGAGACAGCAAAAGCAACTGCATTCCTGTCCGCTTATATAGCAGTGATTTTTGCAGCTAATAGTGGACTAACGCCTATCCATGTTCTCTGGGCATGCCAAGCAGTGAATATACCCATTGTTCTTATAAGTAAGGTACGTAATTTAACTACCTATTCTTGAGAACATCTATACTAGCTATTCTTATCTCGCAAATATATGCAAGATAAATATGTTGCAAATATATTAATCTACGTTTTTATGGGATTACAGTTTATACAAGCCTATACAAATTATACCAATGGAAATACTGGCCAGTTATCGGCGGTAACATGTTTCATGCTCTTCTTCGGTTCTCTCGCGAGAATTTTTACTTCCATTCAAGAAACGGGTGATACAACTATGATAACGATGTACGTGTGTTCCACTCTGGCAAACGGTATGATAGTGGCGCAGCTTCTTTACTACTGGAACGTGGACGTAAAGAGCAAAGGAAAGATCAAGAAGAAGAGCTAGAGCGAAGGAAATAGGAATGTTTATAGCGCGCGATTGATAATCTACATAAGCCAACAATGTAAAATAACGCGTGGCTGTATAAAACTTTGCATGAATGATATTTTACGAAGACAACAACGTGATGCTGAAGAAAAAATGCTTGGAAATCATTTTCCATAAGAAATAAACTTTTGAGAAAATTTGCAGGAATAATACCTAATATTATAGATAATTTGGAACTGTAATAGTTATAATATTACTTTGCAGCCTGGAAGTGAACGTGGGAATAATGTTGGGGGGATAATTTTTATTAAAAGATAAGAAATGACAATATGTTATAAAATCTCATTTATTATGTATACACAAGTAGATAAGACTAGATTATCGTTGAATGCATTACCTCGGCATGGTTATTATAAATTTTTCCAACATAAAACGAGAACGTTTTTTTTTAGTTATTTTACAAGTTGTAAAATAAAAGGTATTTTGTACATCTGCGTAATAATTTGTTATTGCAAGTTCTCAATATGTATTATCACGCGCATCATTTATATATATTAAATTATTATATTGTTGATATGTGACTTATTCCATCCCAACTGCAGTTAACTTCGTATCGTGCAATCTGCAAGAGAAATCATATGTCAAATACTCCAACTCTTATATTTTAAATTAAAAAAAAATAAAATTTATCTCTATCTTTGAAGTAACATGTGAAAAATCGTTTTACATTACAAAAACTACTTTGTCATGCGGGGCGCGGCACGCTTATATAGGCGCGCGCGCGCGGCTGGGCTGGCTGGCGATCGATAAAAGTAGTTGAGCGCTGCGCATGCGCCACGCGATCGTCCGGCATCATCGTCGTTCGTCGTTTCTCTGCCTGCGCTGCCTGCCGTTTCCGCTTTCAGCTTTCCGCCGCGTCACGTCGTGAATGACTCGTGCAACGTCCTTCGTCGTTCGTGCACGCATTTGTTCGCTAATCGCTCCCGACGATGTCTCGTGGGCCTCGTGGCGCAACGTAAATCTTGTTTCGTTACCGGATCTTCTCGCGGCACGTAAAACATCGGGCGAGTGGTAAGTAACATTCACGTAATTTCGGAGCCCAGCTCGCTAAGAGAGAAACATTCCGACGTGCGTCGGAAAAAAGGTGGCTGCGATGCGTTATGGCGCCGATGCCGTTCCCGCAGTCTCCGGGCCCCGGGCTTTCACCGCAACGACCATCTTGTCGGGAGGAGAGATCGATATAGCGCGCGTTTCTTGCCCGCCTAGGGCGAGCGTTGTCGCGAAATAACGGCGGGCGTCGTCCACGATTACGGGACGACGGCGACGACGCTTATGACGAGATTGACGAGATTGTGACGAGACGCGGCGTCGGGCGACGCTAAGTTTCGCCGACGGTGTGGTCGCCCGGACGCCCCGGACGGGTGCGATAACGCGCCAAGAACGCCTGCGAGCCTCCAACAGTTTGGCAAAAACCCCGCCGGACGTTTACTCATTACCGGACACGCGGTAATGAGCAGACACGTGTGACGGACAGCTTTTCGAATTTCGCTGGACAACGGTTCGTTCAGCGGGCACGTTGTCCTTGGAAGTTGGACGTTGGGCGTTCAAAAGGGCTTTTTTTTTTAATGCATGAGGAAACGGTTAGAGATATATGTAACAACGCTATACCTGCCGCTATACCTGTGTCCCTATATTTCTCGAGACACATAATATAACGGACACACGTGGTCGTGGATGCTCTCGTAGCCGCGATCGAAGGCACGAATAATTCGAACGCGACGATTTTTCATAGTCTTGCAGATTAGGTTCGACTCTTTGCCGAGCGAGAATGGAATCTATGGATGCGCGTCTCGTGGCGCAAGCGTTGAACTACCATGGTCAGCAGTTGCAGAAAGTGTGGGAAGGAGAACGCAACGAAAACGAGCTGGTCATGCTCAATCTCAAGGATCCTAGCTTTGAAATCTACCAGCAGCGACAAAAGACTCTCAGGTATACATCAATCACCTTTGACAATTATCCAGACACCCTGGAAATCTGTTTCGTGTTGTTGCATATTTTTGTTCATTAAAAGTTTGTGTGTTTCCTATAGCTTTGGAGATAGAGGCAAACGTTTGAAGCTTCAACAGTTTCTCACTAAAAAAGCTGATGACCTGTATGATAAGGCAAACTTGGAGAAATCTACAGACTGTGTTAAGCAGGAGATGGATGACGAAGGTAATAATTTTTTTACGTCTTTTATTATTATTATTATTATTATTCAGATACAACGTAATATTATACAATGTTGTGCAATAATGTGCATTTGTGTTTTCAGAATTTTATGCTACAGTACCAGCACTTGATACTTTTGTCACCATGGAGAAGTCCCAACGCATTCGCAATTTTTTGGAGGTAAAGAATGATTAAAAAAAAAAAAAGATCTGAAAGCACAAATTAGTTGTTATGAAATCTTATGGCAAGTCTAATTTTATATTATTTATCTATTTTATAGAGTTTAGTAATTGGGGATGTAATTTTCGCACAAGTAATGGGTAAAAGCGCCGCAGGTCTTCTTCTGAAGGTGCTTTGCAACTGTAGTGACTGTCCCAGAGTTGTTACTGAATTAGGAGTTAAGGTACGTCAATATATGATTTATCAAGGTACACGGTAGTGTCTCGCACCAAATACACGCGCAGTGAGACCCCACCGTGTATCTCCACACAAACCGTCGAGTCGCGAGTACTCGAAATTATTTTATCTCAACCGATCAAGTAGCTTAAGTTTGAATTATGATATAAGTGTTTTTATTTTTCCTCAATGTTTTCCCCCCTTTCCCCGAGCGGAGATATTACAATGCAAAGTCTTAAATTTTACAATTAAGATATGTCGTCGTCGTCCGTCGTCGTCGTCGTCGTCGCCGTAGTCATAGCCGTAGCCGTACGATTGTTTTTGCATCACTAAATGGCGATTTGAGAATATCTCGATAAACGTTACTTCGTTTAGCAATGTTTCCATGTACCATGTCTAATGTATCTTAAATTTCATTCGTGTTTAATAACAAAGGTTTTTGTATGTTTTGTTTATTAGGCACTAATACTAAATACGGCCACTGTGCCGGCGGTGGACAAGAAAGGTGTTACAAGAGGCTACATGGCAAATGATCTCGTCTGCGTCGTAGTCAGTGAAGTTAACGTTGAAGCTGAACGAGTGGTTGCAGTTATGAACGTACCTGCCCGGGAAGGGCAAGCACCACACCCACCTATGGGACTTATCCATTCCGATGATCTTCCAGAAGCCTATAAGTAAGTTAACACAACAAATTGGTTAGATATAATTGCAAGTCTACCGAATCCGTAATATGCTTCATTAACTCTTGTAAGTTGACTCCTTTATATCTTGGAGATATTTTATTCACATGATAAACAGTGAGAGCATTTTGTGATGTCACACTTTTGTTCATTGTGTATTACTATAAGAGCATTTGCACTGTTAAACAGAATATTTTTTTTTTTAAATCTAATTGCAATACATTGAGATGTAAAATTTATATATACACTGATGTCTTCTTTTAACTGTTTGTTGCTCTACATCATAGTAGATTTTATTATTACATATGTAATTTGTCGTGTTGTGTTCATTTTTTTTGTTTTTAGTTTTTTTTCCTTTTTTTAAAATAAGATGAAGGTAAGGATAATATGGCATGGTGGGAAAAGAAAGTCGAACTTTAACAGAAGCACTGTGATACTAACAAAATTAGGTGAATTAGTTTTGATTCCTCTTACACATTTTTATGAATTTAGGTGCCAGACACTCTATGTAACGTAAAAAGTTGATAGTCAGTATGATGATGAATTTCTAATGTGATACAAATGAATTCAAACCTTGAGCATTGGTTGACATGGCTCTATTGCGCACATATTCTATCTACGTTTGCGATATATTACTCTCAAAGCACCAGCCAGATTATGGCGCAAATGACTTTTGAAGTTGAATTTCCAGTATGAGACATTGAGCCTTGAGCGGTCAGAGTGAATGCAACAGACGGTAGGTATAACACTGATTTAAAGTTGTTTGGTCTCTTATAAGGATATCAAATGAAGAATATATATGTATATGTATGTTACTGTATTTTCATAAAATGGTATACTAATGTAATTTTTTGCGCAAATCATTTTGTATCATGGCATGAGGTATTCATATTTTTGTGTCCGATCGTACTTTCTTTGTAGAAGGTAAGGTGGAATAGATTTATAATCTTGTAGAGGAAGTTAGTGAGATTTGAGAAGTAGAGACCAAACAACTCGAGTCTTAATCGCCCAAAAACATTTTTACCTTTAATCTTCAAAAGAATCGCGCCTTATCATAATAATGCCTTAATGTTTAAACTTACAGCTTATATTGACAAATAAAAAAAAAAGTGATGTCATGTTGATAATTGACACCACAAAATGCAAACAGATGAAACTTCTACATCTAAAAAAATTTTTTTGGTCCGCCTTGGAAGATAATATATACTCAGGCGTGGCTCCCAACCTATCCTAGGGTTATGCAATTTATTTTATCGCACCAAAAAAACTTGTAAAAACCGAAACCACACCATCGATTGATGATAGGCCGTGTGATTTTGTGTTGAGCAAAAAAATCCTCTGATTACAAAATACTAGAAATATACGTCTTAACGGTGAAAGGTGAGAGACGAGTTTACATAATACTGAGGTTGTGTTACCAATGTAAATTTATAACAATGAGATTATATTTGCTAATAAAAAGGAATCTTACCTTCTGCACCGTATCCCTGTTTCGGACCCCTGCTGCTTCTTAACGGTACAAACGTAGATTTTGAACGACTCTAATACCGAAAGTTGCACAATAATTTATGTATGACGCAATCAAGAAGGGCTGAATTAATATTTAATGCACTTTTGGTATTAGTGCCGTATCATTGATTAATACATGCAGATCGAAGTGAAGAAACGTCATTGTACAGGAATAAATGAATAATTAAACTTTATTATATGTGTATATGGGAAGACTGCAACAAATAATGCACACAGCATAAATATGTATGTGCTTACAAAGCAGAAAACTATATGGAATACGACAAGGTGTTGGAGAGCAGGCGCACACGAAATGCCAGACAGGCGATATTTATCGTCAGGACCAATGTTATTTATCGACAGTATCAATGGATTCGGCTGTCATGATTATCAAGTCTTTAGTTTTACCGTTAATGAAGTAGCTTTGGTTTCCTCTTCTTTGGCAAAGGTCACGATGATTTTGCAATGTTTAATAATGAGGTATTTTTCTCTGTGGTGTAGGAAAGCGATCGACAACAAAGGTCAAAGTTATGAAGCGCTGTTGGAGAATAGTACTGGCTTCAACAATCCGAACAACATAAAATATCTGTGCGACTTAATCGGTCTTGGACAACAGAATCATTCTAATATGGTTGGATTGAGGTAAGAAACGTCGTTATAAAATTTATATATATATATATATATATATATATATATATATATATAAACCTAAATTCTTTACCTTATGCCTGATTATGTTTGTTTATTGATGTGCAGAGAGAGATTTGCACCAAATGAATACGCTTCTGAATTACGACAAACACAAGCGAGCAAGTGGGCATTCCGAAGTGTTGCTGAGGGTATAGATCATTTCAAGGCCGGTCGTCATTCCGAAGCTTTCCAGTGCCTCAACAAAGCGCTCACGGTTGATCCTCGCAACGTTGAGGGTTTAGTTGCTCGAGGAGCATTGTAAGTTTTAAATTGAAGTTTGCACTCATGTTTAATATGTTGATGTATACACAGACGTGTTTAACATACTATTTTGTGTTACAGATATGCGAACAGCGGAAGTTTCAAGAAGGCGATTGAAGACTTTGAGACAGCCTTGAAATTAAATCAAACGCATGCAAATGCTCGTAAGTATATGGCGGAAACGCTGGTTGCGCTCGGACGTAGTTACGAAGACGAGAAGAAATACGAAGATGCCCAAAAAGCATATGAGAACTGTTTGGCAATTGCACCGTATCACGAGGAAGCGCGAAATTCTATTGAATACATAAAATCTAAGACTCTCACAGCGTCACTGAACCCTCTGGATACCTTTAAGAGCTTTGAAGCTGAGAACGACGGTGCAGAAAATAAAAAGGATAAAAAGAAACGCAAAAAGGAGAGAAAATCTAGATCAAAGAAGAGACAAAGATGGAGTTCCAGCTCGAGTTCTTCATCCACCGGATCTTCGACCTCTTCAAGCTCAGACTCTAGCAGCTCGTCGTCATCGGGAAGTTCACGATCGGCATCCCGTTCACCGAATCGTAAACGCAAACATAAGAAAGATCATCGCAGTTCGCTTTCGCCACTTAGCAAGCGTATGGCCCAGTATAACAATCCTCCCGCTGCAACTACCACCACTCACGATCCTATCGCTCCGACCTCTTACCCCACAAACACACGTGAGAAAATGGACGACTACGAGAGCAAAGTACGCAAGTTTCTTGAGCAAACCAAGGACGATTCTGATTACGAAGATAAGGCAAGTATAACTTTATAGTTTTGCTCAATTGCAATATATTTCAAAGTATGCAACATGAAAATTAAAGTAACGCAAGATCACTTTTTTATGTGCAAACAGGTAAGGAAATTCTTGGAGGAGACAGCAAGATGGAAGAGAGAAAGGGAAAAGGAAAAGAAACATTCTGAGAGTGAAAAGATGAAGAAAAAGAAGAAGAAAGAAAAGAAGGGGAAAGATAAGGAAAAGGAGGACAAGAAGAGTCGGAAGAAGAAGAAGAAGGAAGAAAGGAAAAAGCGTAAAAACAAGGATAAGCTTGAACGAGATTTAGAAGCGTTGAAAAAGTCGTCTTTACCGGACTTGGAACAGTTAGAGTCCAAGCTTAATGCTTATTATGCGAAAGTCGAGAAAGACTGTGCGGCGCTTAAAAGGTTGGAATCATTGTTGGAATTTTCTCACAATAATGTGTTTAATATTTTTTTTATTACCTTCTAGTTAAGCAGCTTGACTTAAACTCGCGGGCTTTTTTTATTTACGCTGTTTTCATATCCTCAGCTAACACAAATGAACGGAAATCGCGCGGCCGTCAGATATCGTATTTTACTTATGTTTTTATATTTACTAGGTATGTAGCACAGTATAATGACATACCTTCCCCTCTTAGCAACGCGGAGAAGCTCGCTGAAAGTTCACGCAGGGAAGAGGAGCTGCGCAGAGAAAGAGAAAGAGACGATGCTTCGAAGGCATATCACGAGCGAGAATCCAGAGTGCCAATGACTGCGCAACAGAGGAAAGGTGTGTATAAAATAGCGTAAAGTGCATATTAAAGTTGTATACGCCAAATACAACAATGTAAGATCTTATCATAATCGTTTGTTGCAGAAATCCAGAGGAAACCACTAACAGACATATTTGAACAAGATTCCCAATTGATTCATCCCGAACCGAAACTCCCTACACTAGACACCGCTGCGTTAAATGCAAAGTGGAAGGCTGCGCAAGCCGCTAGGTAAATAATTTGAGGGACATTCAAGATTTTACAATAAATATAATTTGCAATTTATAATACATCGTTTCATGTTTTACTTAGCTGTGAATTTACATTCACACATGATTTCAGACAAAAGGACGTTCCTCCGCAAAAGTGGCAAGATGTCCCGGCGGAGAGCAAGAAGGTACAATCTAACGTCTTCGTGGACAGCGACGAGGACGATGACAATGAATTGGAGGAAAGAATTCAACGTGCGGCTCTTGAAAAATCTCATAATGCACGCAAAATGCGTGCGCAGGAACTTGCTGAGAAAAGAGTACCATCGTCACAACCTACACCAACACCACCACCACCCCTGCCGAAAGAACCCCCAATGCCAAAGCAAGCGCCTGTCAAGTATCCTACACCGCAACCACAGAACAAGTTCCAATCGTACAAGGATCTCACTATGTCCGTGTCACAGACTACACCAACCAAATTTGGCTCTAGCAACAATTTGGGCGGCAAGTTCCAACCGATCGGTCAAAATAGTGGGACTGGACATCCGCCGGAACCACCACGTCCTCCGCCAACGGCAAAGACTCAAGCTAAAGGTCCGAGAACTGATTCCGATAGTGAGAACGAGCGAGGTCATCGACAAACTCCGAAGAAACGCGAATCAAGCAGCAGGGGCGGCATGAGTAAGCGTATGAGTAGGGATCGTCCAGCGAAACGGTCTCGTAGTCGATCTCGCAGTGCCTCGAGTTCTGGATCGTCTAGATCTCGATCGGCGAGACGCAGTCGCTCACGCTCGTATTCAAATCGGCGTTCCGGCAGTTACGAGAGGAAATACAGCAGATCTCCTTCGGGTACGTACAGCAGATCACGATCACGTTCAAGATCCAGATCGTACACCAGAAGTCGCAGTCGCAGTAGGTCGAACGATCGAGGTTACTATCGCAAGAGACAATTCCGACCATACAATAATCGTGGCACGTACTACAAGCCACGCTTCCAAGGCTTTAACAATCCGAATCATCGTGGCGGCGGCAACAATTTCCAGAATCGAAACCGCTTCTACAACAATCAGCACAATAATCGTTTTGGCAATCGTCGCGGCGGTGGTTTTAACAATCGTGGTGGTCGTGGCGGCCGTGGTAATCGCGGAGGTAGATTCTTTCATAACAAGCAAGGCTTTCGTGATTTCCGCGACAGGCGGGACTTCAGAGACCGCCGTGCTTCGTCGCGCGATCGATACAGTGATCGCAGCTACTCACCCGATCCGATGAGGAAGGTTGACGAAGCGAAAGAGAAGATCAACAAGATGCTCGAAGGAGGTGACGACGTTGAACATCAACAGGGTGGTACCGGTGGTAGCTCGACCGTACCGCCTAATAAGAGACAAGCTGGACCCCTGAGCGAAGGAGAAGAGAGGGACGATGACGACTATGAGAGGTGGGGAGAGGGAGAGGGGGGCGACGCAGCCAGTGCTAAGGTTGGTTAGACTTCGCGTAGGTTTTCGGCCTACGAAACGATCAGCTCATCTTTACGATGATGATCATGATAACCTGATTGATGATAAAAGCGAGGAATATATAACAGATGAAGAAAGTGACTATAATGATGATGATGATCAGTCACGCGCGCCAAGGAATACTAGCCACGAGCCAACTAACTCTCGTTTGTTGCCAGAATGAAGGGGTCAAACCTGTCGGCGGTAACCTGGAAGGCAAGGAATTCTTCATTGAGCGCATGAAACAGCGAAGCAAGAACGTTTTAATGCAGAGAGCCATTGCAGCTAAGATTTGGTAGTTATGATCTATTACCGCCACCATCGCTGCTTCTCTGTGATATAGTCGCTTTCCTTCCATCGCCCGTGCTCTGAGTAGTCGACCGATTGATACGAGACACGCCGAGACACTTTTGTAGTTTTAGTGCCGATCCCTTCTATTGTATCACAAATCATAATTATAACGGTCGAAAATTCTATTTTTTAAATGTTATCTTAATTTTGTTTCCAATTTAAAGTTAGTCTGATTTAAACATGAATTAATCTAAATAATAATTGAGTAACAAATTATACGTAGCAATTATATCTATTATAGTGATTCACTTGTGAAGTTTCACCAACGCTTCAAGAAATAATTTCACATTTTGAGGGAGAAAAAAAAACTTGTGTCGATAAAGGTAATAAATATTTAGTTTACGTGCTTAGTTAAAATATTTAGTTAATATTAATGTATTCATATTCACTCTATATATGGTATATAGTTATAGCGTTCTCAGTTTATTAATACGCAATAAATATTCGATTAAGAGGCTACATATGTACAACGTAATTGGCGAGTGACTTTTCATTATCATTCGTTATCGGAAGCGAATGTTCACTTTTTCTTTATCCGATAGTGTACATTTTGGGGGAAATATTCGGTACCAAATTGAAGCAAAATCGTTCACTGGCCGGCAGAAATGCCTGGAAATTTTGATATATATATATATATATATATATATATATATATATATATTACATATATGTATATGTATTATGTCCAGGCATTCCTGCCGGTAGAGTGTTCAAGGGAAAGATCATGTATTTTTGTTTAAAAAATTCCCCGATGAGATATAACAGAGGTTGTCGCTTATATATATATATACAAATGCCCAACAGCAAAACATTCATTTTATTTGATCATCGTAATAATTAAATTAATCCTTGCAATAACTAAAGACAAAATCAGCAACGTAAACTTCTCCATCTCTGCAGAACGTTATTGAAAACATATTACTAAATTACGGGATTACTTATTTTAATCTAATAATACGAGCGATTTTATTATGAAGTAGGATAACTTATGTATGTTGTATGTAAATGAGTTGGCTGTACAATTGAAAGTCTCACAAAATATATAACACTGCAAGAAAACTGGAAGACTCCTCGATTTTCTGTCGTAGGAAATGAACATGTATCGTCTCCTTCCTGCGTGCTCGAGTATATCTAACGGCCCTTTTTAACCACGATTTATGGCACTCCGGTATCTACATACGAGAAAACTGGTTGCTGTATTTTGATACCGTGCGAGTACTTAAAAGTCCCCAACGACACGCACCGTTTTTCGTACACGTCTTACATTTGTTGCGAGTGCACGATGAGATTCTTCATATTTTTCGCTTTCGCCGTTCTCATCGGCGTTCATTGTTCCGGAGATTTGAACAGCGTATCTCAGGAGGCTGGAGAGAGTAAGTTTGTGTATACCGTGATCCCCGAGACACGGTCCTTTTTCGTAAGTCCGAGCGAGAGATCTCGAATCTCGACCGTAATTTATAATTTTTTTTTCTTCCGCTTCTTTTTTACGTGTGATGACACGATTCTGTAACTTTCTAGATGTAGATTATCAGAGCTATCAAGATCTTGATGCGTTTCTTTCCGAGGAATGCGAGGAACACGAGGAGTACAGCGAATGTTTCGGGGACCCGACCTGTCGGAAGACATGCGAGAATATAGACCGCTGGGAGACGATGGCTTGCGTCAGAACAAAGATCTGTATTCGGGGCTGCGTCTGCGAGGATGGTTACGTGCGGAACGATCGCGACGTGTGCGTCAGAGAAGCCAACTGTCCCCAAATACGACATTAAGGATAACTCTGCAAAAACGAGCTCGGATAAATCATGGTGAACGCGAGGAAAAGAGCGGATTAAAACGCCTGCCGTAGCTATTTGCTTTCGTCGAGTTTTTCGTCGATCTCTTTAGGGCCGTCGTCTTTAAAGCCACTTGCGTGTGTAATTCTTCAACATGATTATATATAAATGTATATGTATACATAATCGAGTGATTCAACGCAAATGAATCTTGTCGACGTCTCGAAATAAAAACGATTACCGAGGGAATGCCGCGATATAATTTAAATTGGATAAATTATGCATTCCTCAAACATGTTTGCGCGCATCGACGACGATGCACCTGCGTACGCGCGCATTCCGTGCGATAAACTGCGGCCGTCGTTTATTACTTCGCTTACTCGGACCTGACGTAAAAAGGAGCACGTAAGTGCAAGTTTTATCGTACCGAGCCATTTAAATTCCATTTCAAATTCACCGAAGCCTTGGAGGCCGCCCGAGGGCTCGTTCGAGTGCCTAACGCGTCCCATCTCTCTACGCGAACACGTTCGCTTGAAAGGCTTAATCGCGGGCGACGTCGATTATTAAGTTCGAGGGGAAAAGAAGGTTCAGGAGCTGCGAATTTGTTTATCGTTTTCGAGACGGATCGCGCGCGGCACGCGACGGGAAGGACGTCCTTTCGCGTCGAGGGAACGGAATTCCATCGCGATCGCGATGCAACGCTTCGCAAAATCCCACGTTGCTCCTAACTCACACGACTCCTCGGGATCCGGTGTCGGTGGCATCGTGCAACCAGTAACCACGCGCACGCACACAGCCTTCGCAGCAGTAACCAGTAACCACGCGCGGCGACTCACACGCACGTGGGCGCGCGCGACGGCCGGCACGGCGCGGCGCGCGGTCGTTGCTGTTTAGTCCACCCCGATCCAGCGGTCTCCCCGTCTCTCCTTCCCCTCTCCTCGTTCACTCTATCTCTTTTTCTCCGAGTCTCGACTTCCTCCCGTGCAAGCGAGCCACAGCCTCGGTCGGCCTCGGCCGTCCTTGCCCCTTCTGCTAGGCATCACGTCTGTTACCGCATCTACTAGCTGGCGCGAAAACATCAACTCGCTCAAACCCAACGGATTAGAAAGGCTCGCGAGCTGGGCTCCGTAGCGATGGGCCCGATCCGAGTCTCGTCCGCGCGCTCTCGAGCAATCTATGAACTTTGCCAAGGGCGAAGGAGAATACGTAATAAAATTCTCGACTTTTAAAGGGAGTGGTGCCATGTTCAACGAGACATGGGCCGAACAAGAATTTATGGTATACTGTTAGCGCCTTGAAATACGGACGCTGCCGTGGACCGGGCGCGGGGCGATTAGGGTCATTGCAGGATTGTCTGATTTACGACCTCATTTCAGATAGAGCGAGATATTTCAGATAAATATAGCTCGTGGCCGTGTGTTCACCTTCCGAGGATCGCCAATAAGTACCCGATAGGTACTTAAGGACACAAATAAGATTAGCACCTATTTAAGATTGCGGATACGTTTGTCCCGTTTATGGTTTAGGTTTACGCTTCCAGACACGGCCGAGCGCCGAGCTTCGACGATCTTTCGCGTCACATCTCTTTCGACTCTTGCGCGTCAAGACTTGGCTGAAAGTCTCAAGCGAGAGATTGTAAGCGTAATCTTGTGTACATTTGTCGCAATGCGTTCCTCGCGCGTACGCTCGGTATCTCTGCGCCAATTATAAGTTTCGCGGAAAATATGCGGCCTCGAGCTCCGAGCGTGCTATCTGTCGCGGTTGAAAGAAGCGAAGCATTCTCGTGGCTACGAGATACGACGCAATCGCCACGGTCGGCGGGAGAAGGTTGCCGACGATTAGCTCGTAGCTAATGAAAAATCAGGGTTGATCCCATCGCTAGAGCGACCCATCCCGCCGCCTCTCCTTGCGCGGCCGTTCGCGCGTAGGAGGGAAAGTTACCGGGAATTTTCTCCCTCCCGACTTCTCTCTCTCTCTCTCCCCCTCGAGACACCGACGACGCGACGGAAGCTGCAACCTCGACGATCGGCGCCCGGTCACGAAAACGAACGGACGGCGGTTGGGGAACGGGTACGGGAGGGAGACGGGACAAAGCATGGACGCGCGTGCTTTTTGTACGGCCGTTAAGCGCGCGCCGGAAGAGCCGGCAGGAAACGTCCGCGAACACGATTCCAGCCACGTTCGACTCTCCTCACGAGTTCAGGGCCCGAATCGAGCGAGGCGTCCGTCCGCGTCCGTCCGTTTCGCCACCGTGGATCCTCCGCGGGAAATGGAATTCCGAGGAGCGTTTCGGATACGATGGAGAAACGTTTATCGATCATTTCGCGTCGGATATCCTCGTCGATGTTCCTTACGGAATTACGATGACTTCACCGCGGGGGATATTCGAGTTCCTAGAGAGTTTTCTGAGAAAGCCGCGAGAACTTATAACGTCGAGTTGTCGAATTTTATCGTGGCGGTACATTTAATTACTTTGGCGAAATATATCGTTTATAACCCTCTACGTCTATTGTCAGCGAGATTTTATTTCGCACGTCCGTGAAACTGTATGGCTTACTAGAGATTTCTCTCTTTCTCTCTCTCTCTCTCTCCGCCTTATCCTTATTTATTATCTTTATGTTTCGTAAAGCTATCTCTGCTCGAACTGCGTCTCGCGCAAGAGTTCCGCGTATCACGAGATCATCGGCGGGCACACATCAGCATGCGCGAACTCGGGAAGACCCAAGAAATACAGGCGCGCGGAAAAGAAACGGCGTTTACCTGCCGCGAGAGGAAGACGCTGCGCGAGATGAGTTATGGTCCAATTAAGTCTCCGCGTCCGACACGCACCGTCTCTCTCCCTTCCTCCTTCCCTCGTTTTCTCTCTTTCTGTCTTTCTTGCCGATAAACATTAACTGACTAATGTCTACATTTAATATACTGACTTGGTATCTTGTAACGAAACTTAGCACGCCCCAGTAACGTCATTAGAAATATTACTTCCTTGTCGACACGCCGCGAGCTCGAAATAGTTTCCTTCCCGCACGTGCACTAAACACAGTTAAACGCCGGGTCGAAGTTAATTATCTGGCGCGGCGCGCCAATGTTAACAGTCAGCGCTAATGGGCTCGGATATCCGTGAAATCGTGCCGATAAGACGGTAGCAACAAATCGAGTTTTCAATCGTCAAAAAGAAAAGAACGAGTTTATTCTAGTTTACTCCGTGGAGAATTTAATTCTTTTCTCTACGGTCTCGCAAAAGTGAAGATGACTGCTTTAACGATTATTCAGGTATCTTTTTCGCCGGGCGAACAAAATGCATTTTTGTGTGAGAAACGCTTTAAAAATTTCAAGTCACATTTTTTCTTAACAATCACTTGTGGCTGGTCTATTGTACCGGAACCGCAAAACGATCCTCCTAGTTCCTCGAAATATTCCTTTCAAGTGTTTCGTTTCTCAAGTCGCTTCTTTTGTGTCGAACACACGCTTTTACTCGGGATTTTTAACTCGCTCGATTATCTCTTTAGTTCACTAAAAAACTTGCTCACTTTAGCTCGCAGTTCTGAATACCGATGACTTTCATAATTTTTAGGATTACTTCAAATCTATTGTTAAACTTTCCGTACAACTTGCGATTTCAATCATTTTTAATCCCAGAAATTTTGAAAACTATTTTATCGGTATTAATATCGTATCGTAATATTGAAAAGCAGAACAGTAAAACTGACAGTTTGGATTGAATAGGAGAAACCAGATATTTGTTTAAGCCTGTTTTGCATCTACCTGGGTGCTGACCTGTACGGTTTCAACGTCTCTTGTAACTTGATTATTTTTATGACTTTTCATACGAGCCGTCAGAGAGAACCTATTTCTGAGACTGCCTATTAACTTTAAAATCAGGTAAAAAAAAAAAGATTTTGTTTACTTCTTGGAATTAATTGCTAGGTAGTTGCTTGAGATATTCTTGACGCCAACTTAGGCCGGATAATCTTAAAACAGAAAAACGTAGAATAGGTATTTGTAGACAGTCAAATTGTATATTTTTGTCCTTCCCTCCTACAAATTTAACTGCGTTCGTCAGAGGCTGATCCTAGAAAAATCGCATGAACGTGTTCGATGGACGTATGGCGTCGCGTCGTGCCATGAATCACCTGCACATCGACGTCGTCATCGTCTCTCGGAATCTTTCCGGATGTACAAGATGGAAGGAAGACGGGAAGACCCGAGGAGCGAAGGAGCAAGACGTGAGCACGAAAGAGTGGGACGTCGCATTTTTTAATCGTTATGAACGCGATATTGAGACACGTCGCGATTGGCCGAGCCGACGAAATACGAGCGACAACTGCCGATATCTAACATCATCTACCGGCACGTAATACATATATATGTTACAGCAAGCTGCATTCTTTCGCTTTTTCCTTGTTCGTTGTGGCATGACCTATATATACTCGCGCGTGCAGTTTGCCGAACATGTCTAAAGTGTGACGAATATGTACACACTGAGGCCACAAGTGCCTTAAAGCACGTATATCGAGGCGCGTGCTTCCCGTCTAAATGTGCGCATCATAACTGTTAGTTATTCGAGAAACATTATTATATTGCTATATTATTAATTATTATATTATTGTGTAAAAAGAGTATATTATATTAAACTACGAAATATCAGTTGTTTCAAGACAGCGTTTTCGAACGACCGACAATCACGACGAGCGAATAATTAGACAAGGAGCACGCGTCCCAAATATTCCTCCGATATGCCTGACGCTGACGAATTCACGATTCACAAGACATTACGATCTCGTGTGTACGTTGTACGGAGCCCGAAGCGTTTAAGAAGTTTACTCCATTGACTGTCTGACGTGACGAGAACGGAGAAGATTTATCTCTACGGGGCGCACGCCGAACGTTCTGCCCCGAATTCCGTTTAAACTGTTACATCGCAGGCCACTTTTCATTGCGCACTTGAAGTCCGCGGCTCGTTTTTTATTTATCAACGTTGCGTATCGGAGCGTGCGCCGAAACCGTGCCCGGGGCACGGCGACGAAAGCGATAAAAAAAAGGGGAAAAAAATACGAGCGCAATGCGGTCAATCTATCACCGCGTTAACATGTCTTTCTAGATTCAAAGCTCTGTGCGTATGCACTGTGCACACATTGCGCACGTCGTAGACAACGGTCGTCCTTATCGAGATCGCCTGATTTATTTACGCGTCGGAAGCCTTAAAGCGGCGGCTTATTAAAAGGATCCGTAACGCACACGCGTATAGTTGTAATCGCGGCACACATCCTCGTTCCTCTTATTCTCCTTTTCTATCCTTCCCCTCCCCCCTGCTTTTTAGCCGCCGTCGCTCCCTCCCGCACCACGGTACCGGTCTTTCGCTGCAAAACCGATAAATTATGCATTCCATTATTCATGCTCGCTCGCCGTAATCATGTACGGCGGTTGACAAGATCCTGTCATGCTTTACAGGCCTCCTGGCTTCGCGTTTGTTTGCTACTCCGCGAAGTAAGGAGGACCGTTTACGGCAGTGAGACTGCAAGCTATTCAATTTACCGGCTCTGAATACACGGCCGAGCTTTGAGGATATGGGAGTCCGAAGGATACGCGGAAAGAGAGAGAGAGAGGAGGTACGCCCGTCTAGCCTAAGACCGTGCGTAAAATTCGAAAGGCCGAAGAAGAGATGCCGGAAAACGATAAATTATTTATAAGCCGCACTTGAGAGGCTATCGCACCAAGTTTCGCGCTTGTCCTGTTGCACGCGCGCGCATATTCAATGAACTTTGAAATGCTAGATAGCTAGATATTAACGATGTAAAATAGAACGGAAAATATCGCGGCGCCCGTGGCTGTGAGTTGTTAAATCGATAATAGCGCGCTCGGCCATCTTTCTCTCATTTAATTCAAACAATTCGAATGAAGTTTGCCGCTTAGAAACGGCACGCCAGGTGTTAAAACGCAACGACCACGACGCCGCGACGGGGACCGTTTTCTATTTCTTTGATGTATGCATGTGCTCGCGCCCATATTACAAAAAATACTTGTATTTATCTGATTATTATTCAAATGCGCGAGATAATTGGAAGAAATCGCAGATCGAGCATGCCGCTATACTTTCTCACAGTGCACAGTACGCAGCAACAAAACGGAGAAAGAAAAGAGAGAGAGAGAGAGAAACAGAACAGCCATTCGACAACGGGAAAAATCCTATCGCGGGCAGGTTCCTTCCTGTTTTGCTAAAGTCAGGTATGCGCGTGTAGGAGAAGAAATCAGGGGAATCTGGGGAACATTAAAACGTCGCCCAAAGGTTTTGAATCCTAAACTCGCGCTCCAGGCGATCCCGAGTCCCGAGATAGGAAGTAAACGGGCGCGCATTTGAACGAGCCGTTCGGCCGCGCTCGCCGGCGCTCGGCAGTCTTCGCGTCGCGGTCGCCCTGCCAGGCTGCCACTCCGTCCCCTCCCTCTACTCGTCTCGCGTCCGTCGTCATCGCTTGTACTGGCGCGCGGTAGTGGGGACATCGGCGGAAGGCGGCAGGGCAGGCTCAATTGTCGGTGGATCGTCGTAACGTGTGGACGAGCGCGCGTCGAGGTCGAGGGTTCGGAGCCAGGGATTAAGAGCGTGTGCCGCGATCCGGGGCGCGCGCCCGGTGCAAGAGCGGAAACGACGCGTGCACGGGCCGAAGTCGGTTACGAGGCGAAGTGTGTCCCGCGGGTGTGTTTGCGTGCGCGCGCGCACGACGTGCGGATAACTTCACGCGGTAAGCGCGTGAGCCTCTGCCCGCTGCCGGACGATTTCCGAGTTCCGAGTTCCGTTCGTTCGACGTTGACAACTCTCTCGGCCGAGCCCGCTCGTTTTTCGCACCCTGAGATGCGCGTTGCGGCCGTGGCGTTTATCGCGCGAAACAACCACGCGATATTTCGCGCTCCGTGGCGTTGACGGAAACGAGCGCGCCCGCGCGCGCGCTCGCTCGCTCGCTCGCGTCCACCGTGATCGGAGGATCGGAAGATCGATCGTGAGTGAGAGGGAAGAACGACTTAAGGAAGGATAACAAAGACCCTCTCTCGTGTTGCTCGTTGTCAGTGACAGGCTGAATCAGTGTGTGTGCGCGCCGAATATTTCGGGATCCGCCTGGATATTTTGTGGTTTACGTTCAACTCGCCGATCGGGAGCCCCCTTGGCAGCAACGGCCATGACCGCGGACAGCCTGTTCGAGACTACCAGCATCCCGGGGCATCTCGCTCCCACGCCCGAGAGACTGGAGAGACTTCTCTCGAAACAGACCCTCGAGGAGCTCTACGAGGTCGAGGAACAGCCTTTCGCACGGTAAGCCACGACTCGAAACACGCGGCTTCATCTCTTTCTCTCCGTTTCCTCTGCCTCTCCTTCCTCTCGCGATCGCGCGACGCGCTCCACTCTCTTTCTCTCCCCTCCCCCGCTCCCGGGTTGTCTTTGTCTTCGCGTAACCTAACGAGGCTAGGCCGCTTCCGACCTGCCGCGACTCCGGTGACCTCCCGAGGCCGAGCTTAACCTCTTCCGTGCGCTCGATGTCTATCAATATTTACGCTCGAGTCGATCACTATAATGAACGCTGTTAGAGAATGAGCTTTTTTTTTTTTATCGCGACATCTGATACCTGTGTATTGTGTGCGCGAACAGATGCGGCTTCCCGTCAGGTTCCGCATAAGAAACTCAACAATTTAATGGCCTTCTTTGCTTTACGCCAATATCTTATGATATCGATAATTAAATTGATAATTGGCTGCGTGCTAAAGTGAATCCGTACTTTATACCGTTCGAGTTATCTTCAAGACGTAATACGCCTTATCGATACGATATGTTCTTTTGTTACACGCGATCATACGTGCGCGCGATACGATACATTTCAAAAATATTTTTTGTGCACGCTCGCGCTTCCATTAAACCCACGAGTAATCGCATCGAGACACGCGCGTGTCACGAGATACTAATTACCCGCATCTCGCGCGTTACCTCGTACGCATTTATCACCTACGATGATAGATCGCATTCGCACGCTCTCGCACACAATAGCGTCAAATCGCGTCCCCCTTTCTCGCGCGCATCGAATATAATTCGCTTGAGAAACGAGGCTCCTTACGCACGGAGGACCTTTCGTAAACCGCATTTCCTTTGCAGCGAGACCTTATTTTATTTTTTTTTTACCTTCTCGGTTCGTTAAAACAGAGCACCTGATCACAGAAATTTTTATATTCGGTATATTCCAAACTGCACCCCCCGCACGAGTGGGGCTCGTGCGGAGAAACTGGGATATCTTTCGGAGGAGACATTAAATTTAGAAATTGGTCGTCAAGTTTGGGGAGCTTGGGAGTTTTGGTCAATAAAATGGTTAATACACTATAAATAATTTCATTGTTATTATTAGTTGTATTGTCCGGCCGGTAGGTCGTCATCTGTCAAAATAATAATATAAAAACGTTAATGGCTTATTTACGCGCGATTTAAGCGCGGGTTAAGAGATCCGATAATGTACGAATGATTTTAGCTCTTCGCGCAAGCGTGATTAATCGCGAGAGAAAAATTGAGGGTTATCTCAGGCGCATTAAATTAATTTATAAGATTTTCGCTTTACGGGGAAAAGATGAGCGAGGTTTTATCGTCACTCAATTTTGCGTCGTATTTATATCCGCATTTTATCGTCGTATTAAAGTTACTGCATAATCGCGTTACGACACGCGTCTTATACCTATTAAAAAAAAAAACCGCGCTCGTTATTCGCGCCTCTCTCCGGTTTACCTTTAACTAATTTTCCGCAAATCCCTCGGATATCGGCCTCCCTTGCGTAATTGCGTGTTAAATCACGCGCGTCGACGGAAACGCGCTCGTTATGGAACCATTTCACACGTGTCTACGATTTTTTAGTGATTTACCGCGGAGAATACTAATGCTACCTTTTCATGCGATAGATCGTTACACGTAGCAAGAAAGTAACAGCTTCTAAACACATATGATACCATTGTAAATATTCTCGCCGCAGTATTTTACCGCCGTTATTATATCAAAATTCCAAAATTGGGGTGCTAACTTTACAAAGGTCAAGGAATCTCGCTAAATTATTTCGTCGCGACAACAACGACGACAGTCGGGAGTTTCTCCTTAACCCATAACCGTACCGTAGCGTCTTACTGGCGCCCACGTGTTTCCGTTCGTTGACCAGGGCCCCGGGCCACCCTTACCTCGGCCCTGAGGACCTCTCTTCGTGAAAGAAAGTGCTCCCACTGCGAGATCGAGGTCGAGACTTCGTTCTTCTCGTCTCGATACATTCTTTTACGACTTGGCTGGGAAGGGACTCCCGCTGCTCTCTTCCCCCGAAGACGTTTCCGCCGCGCCGCCGCCGCGCCGACGAAAAGAACGAGTGGAGCAGGCCGCTCGAAACGGTCTTTTTCCGAAACTATGCAAGGCCGTTCAGGGCCCCTCCATCCACACGGCACACGCACGCAGATCCGAAGCTGCGTGACGTGTCCTGCGAACGGCTGTTGCGTCTAAAATTCTAAAGGAAGTGGGTCCGGGGAGAAATCCTCTCGAATGGCATCCATATGTCTGATTCAAGCGCCATCGGTTATATCGGTTTCCCACAATTCGCTTCCCCTAACGATGATGCTAAATTCATGAAAGACAACGACGTGCACGCAATTCATGCTTGCGGCCAAGCGCAACGTAAGATTACTCGGTTTACGATGCGATATTATACTTGGAAGGATCATCGATGCCGATTATACATACAGGGGAGGAATGGAATGCTTTTAATTACGCAAATGCGAAGGAAAACATGGTTGATATCATAGCAGAAAATAAATAAGAAACTTATCTGTGTGTATAGAAATTCAATACAGCGTTACATTGTTTTCACTATTTGATCATTTGGGTACGTAATAGACGACCGTTGATCGTGTTGGGTCATAGATGTGGCCTCCGTGGTGAGATTGCGAGTTGAAAAATCGGATCGAGCGAAACGACGAAAGCGCGGGGAAAATCTCGAGGCTTAAGATTAATCGTGATAACGCTAATTAACGATTAACCAGCCGCGCGTATAAATCTCTTACATGCCGCGGCCAAGCGTTGGAAATCCAACTATCGTAAATCCTCGATGAACTTTAACGCGTCACGTAGATATAATATCCGATAATTGCTAAGCCGGGTAGTTGGCTAAACATTTTATCCGCGGCTTATATTACGGCGGGAAATAAATTTCTGCGAATTAGAAGAGATTCTCCAGAGTTATCTCTTCTAATGCGTGGCTTTAATATATCTCTCTTCTGAGAGAGAGAATTAAATACTTTCGATATACGTATTTACGATTACGTATCATATGTTATTATTTTGCGTTTACACTACTTTTAGCGAACTCGAGCGTCAGCTCCGTGAATAATATCACGATTAATTTACCGTTAGACTGTCTCTGTCCTGGAATTTTTATAACTTTGTAAGAACGCGACACGTGGTGATGCGACTTCCTCTCGCCTCGCGGTATGTTATAACGTCTCCTTAACGACCGGACGCACCCGGGACCTTCCTGGGGTGGCAGTGTGGTCTTGTGGTAAAGCGCCAGACTCGTAACTCCGAGGAACCGGGTTTGAATTCACCTGATCACAGGAATTTTTATATTCCAAACTGCACCCCCCGCACTAGTGGGGCTCGTGCGGAGAAACTGGGCTATCTTTCGGAGGAGATATTAAATTTGAAATTGGTCGTCAAGCTTGGGGAGCTTGGGAGTTTTGGATAAAAAAATGCGTTAAGCACCGTCGAGATTTATGCAAATCGTCAATCACCGCGCTTCGTGACAGCGCGACGCCGTGGAATGAAAAGTATCAGATAATAATCGCCGCCGCGCTCTGCCCAACACCTGCCGCGTTCTAGAATTTCTCACGAGATCCGCCCGGCCGCGATTTTATTTGCTTCAGCGTGGAATAATTTTACAAGTATACTTACTTCACAAAATATACGTCCGTAGTAACATTTTGAACTTTAAACGCTGCGAGCAATTTTTAATAATTTTTAATAATTATCTTTTATCGCTTTCCCGTTCTTTACAACATAAATATAACAAACATGATAACAATAAGTAAGACAGAATAACAAGTTGATTTTTCAAGTGTTTAATTTTCCATAAAGTTATGCTTGCACTGGGGACAACAGTGGTACTTATCGAGAGGGTTAAGATTTCCACTTGTACATTACGAAGTTGCATCCTCTCTTTCTCTTTTTCTCCGCTTTTCATAAGAGACTCTAACGTAGTCTACTGCACACAAAAGCGCATCGAGGAACTGAAGTTTCCAAGAGAATCCAGTGCCTCAACACATGCGTTTATATTCACGCTTTGATATAGCGATCCCAATCGCGAGTGACACATCGTATATCGTCACGATATTAAATAAATAGAGTCTTCCTGGTATCAATTTTCAGCGAGCTCGCTTCTCTGTCCTCGCCCTCGCCTTCCCTCGCCGCTTCCTCGATCGCGAGTACGTGCAATCGAGCGCAAACAAATCGCGTCAATGTTTATCTCACCGCCGCGCCGTGCCGTGGCGTTTGCGACATCGCGTCGTGCGCGTGGGGCCCGGTGAACGAATTATATTGCGCGCAAAATGCGGAATGCGGAATGCGTCGCTCAGCGCGAAAAAACGATTTGGCGTTACACAATCTTTCTCGGCCGCACGGAAATCGCGTGGTTTCCCGCTGCGCGACTCGATTTCCCTACGAGCTCGAACGCTCTCCTCTTTCTTTCTGCGTTCGTTAACCGGCCGCGTAAGGCGGTTATTCATAACCGCTCCGCACAGTAAACCGGCGATAAGCGAAGCAGCCCTGTCGTTGCTTAACGGCGCGCTGCCAGCCCGCGGACTCTTCAGCCGCGTGCACGAATCGTCAAGCCGACGCCATAAACGTCGGCCACGGCGGGGCCTCGGTATAAATATTACGTCTGTATCGGCCTTAGGGAGCGTTAGTCGCGGGCGAGGGTAAATAAACTCGTGGCGAGAGAGAGAGAGAGCATTCCTTTCCCACCAATTAAGCGATTCTGGCCGCGTAATCGATACTTACGGTGAGAGAAGCGCGCGAGACGCGGCGTTTTATATCGAGCGTGTGCGTCGACTCATCCGCCAATTTGCAAAATTGCCTCTTGCGTTAAATGTGATTTCACTGCCACGTTAATCGTCGGTGCGTCTCGTCGCCGATTCCGCATCATCCCGATTCATTTCGAGATGACAGAAAACGAATTTCGGCAAATCGTGCTTATCCCATTGACCGAAAATGAAGAAACTTATCGGAATATGATAGCTTCTCTCTTTCTGTTT